CCTGTGTACGCGCCTATATCAATACTTCAAAAAATGAAAAAGGTAAGTGAGCATGTTTTACTAAATTAAAAAAGGTAAGTTTGAATGTTTTAATATACAAGAAAAAGGTAAGTAAGCATGAAAAGGTAAGTAAGCATGTTTTACTAAATTAAAAAAAGGTAAGTTTGCATGTTTTAATATAAAAGAAAAAGGTAAGTGAGCATGTTGTTTTTTAGTGTAAAAAGGTAAGTTTGCATGTATCAATGTAAAAGAAAAAGGTGAGTTTCCCTTGTGCATGTTGTCAGTACAAAATAATTAAGTTAATATCAATATTGATCTATACTGAAAAGATCAATATAAGGAGCGTGTAAGAATGAATATTCTTCGACTAGTGAAGGAATTTCCATTCTTTAATGCTTGGAGCGTGTAAGAATATACATTCTTTCACGCTCTGACCGTGTAATAATTTCCATTCTTACACGGTCTGAGCGTTAAAGAATGAAAATTCTTAACCTCAGTGTAAGAATAAGCATTCTTAAACGCAAGGAAGCGAACAATATTAAATTTCTTCTCCTGAACCGTGTAATAATGGGAATTCTTACACGATAGGTTTACTACTATGGAACCGAACAGATATGATATGATGAGTATTCTATCTAAAAATTTCAGAAGAAATTTCGTTTACTAGTGAAAATATAATTTTTAATGATGCTGTTAGCTGTGATAGAGTTCAGTGATAAATTTATAAAGTTAAAAAGTTAGTTTTTCAAGCGAAGAAATAATTTGTAGACTCTATAAGGTTAGTAACCACCCAAAAATGTAGTCTTTTTGATGTATTTTTATGGTGAAGTCGAGGTTCCCGGGAGGGGGGGGGGGCAAAAAATATTTAAAAAAAGGTATCAATATTTTTTCAAATAAGGGGTTTTTAAGTGGGGGGCACAATGTTGCCAAGGGGGGGGGACCCAAAAATTTTTTTAGCGCGCTTACGCGCGCACATTATACCCCCCCCCCTAAACCCTCGTACGCCCCTCAGTACGGCCAATTAAACTATGGACTAGGAAGCTAACTATAAGTTATGGTCTTGATTAGTCCAATGAACATTTTAAAATAACAGTTTACACAGACCCCTCATCACATATTAAGTTGATTTTCAAGCATCTGGGATTTCTTCTTTTCCACAATTTGATGGTTCTCATTGTTTATTTAGTAGATTGGGTAATGTAAAATTGGACTTCACCAACACATTTTTTGCTCTTTTAAATGCTTTTGATGAACAAAATGTTTTCCTATTTTTAGCACTAATGGACATTGGACATTATAATTTTCTTGCACTCTTACTAAAAGTGTAGAAGACCATTTTTAAATAAGATAAAGACAATATCGAACTAACCTTGCTGGAGTGAGATGAAGCTCTCTCTCTTTGCTCCTTAGAAGACTCTTCATTCATCTTCAATCGGTTAACATAACTCAAGTAGGTCTGAACCTACAAATATTCAACTTTAGGCAGTTAACATAACTCAAGTAGGTCTGTACCTACAAATATTCAACTTTAGACGGTTAACATAACTCAAGTAGGTCTGTACCTACAAATATTCAACTTTAGACGGTTAACATAACTCAAGTAGGTCTGTACCTACAAATATTCAACTTTAGAGGGTTAACATAACTCAAGTAGGTCTGTGCCAACATATATTCAACTTTAGACAGTTTTAACATAACTCAAGTAGGTCTGAACCTACAAATATTCAACTTTAGGTAGTTAAAATAATTCGAGCAGGTCTGAACCTACAAATATTCAACTTTAGAGGGTTAACATAGCTTAAGTTGGTCTGTATCTATAAATATTCAACTTTAGACGATCAACATAACTCAAGTAAGCCAGTACCTACAAATATTTAACTTAATAGAGCCTCTAATGGGCAGTTGACATAGCTAAAGTAGGCCTGTACCTACAAATATTTAACATTAGGCAGTTAACATAACTCAAGTAGGTCTGAACCTACAAATATTCAACTTTAGACGATCAACATAACTCAAGTAAGCCAGTACCTAAAAATATTTAACTTTATAGAGCCTCTAATGGGCAGTTGACATAGCTAAAGTAGGCCTGTACCTACAAATATTTAACTTTAGGCAGTTAACATAACTCAAGTAGGTCTGAACCTACAAATATTTAACTTTAGGCAGTTAACATAACTCAAGTAGGTCTGAACCTATAAATATTGAACTTTATGCAGTTAACCTAACTCAGGTAGGTTTGAATCTTCAAATATTTGATGTTAGGTACTTTCCTAAAGAATTTTTCGCAAGTGGCAACTGCCAAAGGGTACTTTCCTAAGTGGCAACTTCCTAAATGTGCAGTTTCCAAGGCGGCAACTTCCCAAGTTTGTCCGAACCCCAACGCTCGGCCCCCAGTTTTTTCTAGCGGCTCAGCTCAGCTCCCCACCCATCCTAGCCTCAGCGCTCGGCCACAATTTCAGCCTGGGGCACCTCAAAAGGCCTAACCTACCCTTTCAGAAGTTCCCGCTTGGGAATTTGCACATTTAGAAAGTTGCCACTTGAAAAATTGTCATTTGAGAAGTCGCCCTTGGGGAAATGTCTTTGGGAAAGTTCCTTAACACCAAATATTAAACTTAAGACAGTTAACATAACTCAAGAAGGTCTGTACGGGCAAAGTATATAAATACTGAAGATGGATATATACTCAGTCCTTATTTACCTCTGTCTGCAGTTTACTAGCGGAGAGAACCTGTTCCACTGATGGTCTACGTTCAGGTGCTGGTCGGAGAAGAACTTGAATCAAATCTGAAACCTAGTCAAATCATTAGCTGTGTATTTGTTTACAGAGCGTTCATTATCAGGGGTGTAATATTTAAAGAATTACACCCACCCAACCTTTTTTTGATACTTTTTCTCCGAGCAAACTTCAGGAAATGATTTTTCGAGAAAATATACACCCCTGTTCAATTTAGCCCAACTAAACTTTACATTTGACAGAAGGCTTTTATGATTGTCCTGGAATTTAGCAACATAAGCTATGATTTAATCAAAACATGGATCCGTGACTTTTGAACTTTATCTGGTGCATCCACTTTCTCTCTTAAAATAAGAACAATAAGACTAAGATGAACCACTGCCTACCATACCGGTTCAAATTTGAATCACCCATTCAAATCCTGACGTAGCTCAAAATCATTAAATTCGGACCCTGGTCCCTTGATTCTTACCTTGGATGAGTAAAATTTCTTAGATATTGGTTCATAGCTTCCTCTACAGATAGACTGAACCAGCTGTAAGAAGTTTTCAGCAGGAAACGCCAGTTTTAGAGTACACAGCTCATAAAGAACACATCCCAGGGACCACATGTCTGACTAGCGTTCACTTCATTAGGTTTCAGGCTTAGAATGAAATGAGAACCGTATTTTTTATCAACGTCAATTAAGACGACATTTATTATCGTCAAATTTATACAAAATAATTGGCTCAATCCTTGCAGAAATTATGACGCCCCCACCCACTCCCACCGTTTCTGAAAAATTGTGAAACCTTAAATTAGCTTAAAGATAAGCAGCTTAGAAAGGTTAAGTGGACCGAGCGCTGTGGCTAAAACAGATTGGGGGCCGAGCGTTGCGCACAACTAAATGTGTACATTGTAGACTGTACAAGACAATGTATTCCATATTTTTTGTGTAGGGGGAAAATGCATAAGATCCCAGCTAGGACATTATTAAATAAAAATGTAGTTTTCCAAAACTTAAATAATAAGTAAACCCTATTCCTTGTTTCCATAAGGTTCTCTTTTACATATCTCCGGAGAAAGATAATGCGGTGTTCCAATAGCTGTGTGAGCAAGATCCAGAGTGTTATTCAACGACTAGAAACATCAAGGATTAAATATCATAAATAAATGTTTCAGACTGTTTTCTTCAGTTCTGGGGATCCGGATCTCTTGGATCCGTGACGTTTTAGCAACCTGGATTCGGACATGCAGATCCACGGATCCAAATGGCAAAAAAATTAATCAAAGCATCAAAAAATATTTGCACTTAGAACATACATTTAAAGTATCAACTGATGAGATATCATAAAAATAAAAAACCTACCACCTTTAACTATTAATATTTTTAATAATTAATATTTTTTCTTTTTTTTGAAAAAATGCACTTTTCCCTTTTTAGCAAACAATGACTGATTTTTTGTAAATTTTTCATAGAAATCATCTTAGAAATAATCATAGAAATTATGTTAGAAATTATCTTAGATTTGATTTGTTGTAGAAGTCTGCAAAATTAATTTATCTGTTCCAAAATTCTTTTAAATCCGTTCCTTAGAAATTCCAAAATCTCCAATCTTGATCAGATTTTGTGAAGTTAGAAAAATATTCTGGGTTTTGAGGTCTCGGTGTAGAATATTCTTTTTATGGATAAACTGCAAACCAAAGCAGATCTGAATCAACCAGCTGAAAAAAAAATAATCATCCTTCATTTAAAAAAAACTTTTTGAGGATATTTAAAACACTGCGAGTTTTTATTTCTACTATCTGAACTTTTTACTCAAAAATTTAATCTTTTTCCTCCTCAAAACAAAAAATTATCCAAATTCAGTCCTAAAAAATTAAACCCTTTAAAAAAATCAGAATAAAATTCCCGATTTTTGAAGAAGAAATGATTTCTTAACCCAAAGTAACCCGGAACCCTGGAAGAACTTACAAAATCTATAAAGAAATTGCAGTTAAAGCAAGAATATGGGAAACCCAGATTTAAACATCTCATGGTATTAACCTAGTCAAAACCGGAATTAAGCGGGAAATCGTCTTAGTTTAATCTTTCTTATAAAATAAAGCTCAAAATTTTGCACTAAAAACAGTTTTGACAGATTTAGCTCTGAAATATTCAGAGCACGTTTTCAGAGTTACAAGATTTACAACGTTTTAAGATAAAATACTTTATAAGGAAGAATTTCATTCCGTTTTGAACTGAATACGACTGCAGAGAACATAACTACAAATCTGCGTAGAAATAAGAATTAAACTTACTTGAGAACTTGAGGTTCAGGAATAAATTGTTTGTAAACATCTCGTTGTCGTTTTATCACCGCAGACAAGTCTCCGTGATCAGCATACTAAAAAGATGTAAACTTGAAATGTCGTCTTCCAAAAAGAAGTTAAAAATTCAGAACTATTTGGCAGGCCCCATCCTCCTGTAGTTCGACATTCTTCTGAGCATTAGTAACCTCCCGTGATTATACTTTTAGAAGTTATGTTGGTTCAAGCTAAATAGGTATTGGATAGTAACAGCCGCGCCGGTTGCTCTTTTTTTTAAAAGTGTTAAGGAGCATTGACAATTGGTTAAAAATCGCCAAAGCGACGTGTCAATAATTTCATATTTGATTTAAATTTCTCTTACCTCCATAATAATCAGAATCTTTTCATTGGGTAGATTTTTATGCATTCTACAGAAGAAGAAAAATTAAAATAAATGATGATGTACATTGTACAGTATTGTCGGATTTATTAAGAATTTTGCTTATTTTTAAATAAACAACTGCAATACTATAGATAACAATAATAGAATACTGCAACAAAAATGAGAAAAAACCGCGAATTTCATCAAGAAAATAAGTTGTCGCATGACTTATTTGTGAATCAATTCTGTTTTGGTTAAGCTTAAGTTTAAGTTATGTTCAACGGTGATCAGAATTTTTTAAATTTTTTTGTATTCTTTCTAACTTTTTAAGTCTTCTTTCCTGTATCCTCCGACATATTTGACAATGTTAATATGATTGCACATTGCGAGAATATTAACCTAAAATATAATTTTCAGATCAAAATAATGCAGAGAAATCTTTTTGAAAAATTAAATAAAAGTTAGACATTGACTTCCAAGCTTTCGATACTGATTATCTAGAAATTCATTTATTTTCCCTAATTCCATGATTTTTCAACAAAATACAGATTTTGGAATTTAAATTAATGTTTTTATGCTGCCAAAAAAGTAAAATTTTGACATAAGTAATAACACCCCCCCTCCCCTTAGAAAAGTGACGGCAATGGTTGCCAATTAGTGGAAATGTACCGAAATTGAATTACCCCCCCCCCCCACCACCATCACTCCTGCTCAGTGTTCACCTCATTTTCACTCTGATCCTTCTCCTTCTGTGCCCAGGTCCCTGTCTTCATCTCCTTCATGACGTAGCTCCTCCTGCTCACCTAGAATCAGATTTAATGAATACCAAGTAGTTGATCCGCGTAGACGTCACTGAACCACGTCTCTTTAATTTAAACCGTCATCGCACAAGAAGGTTCAACTTCTTTTCATATTCATTAAATTTGTCCTCTTCATTATCGGTTTAAAGTGGGGAAAAGTCGGCTCTTTAACGTAATTTTAATAATCAACTGATTTCGTTATTTGCAACTGTTATAATTCTAAAAATGTGTCCAGAGGTCAGAACCTTTTTGGGATCAAGTCTGGGTCTACGGATCTACGGGAAGATACTGAGAAGACAGCACATTTGACTTTAATTTCATTATTTTCAGATCTATAAATTAAATCAAAAATATATAATATAATCGTTGTAATAACTTGACTCGTGGAAGAGGCTGATCCAAAAGGTTGTTAGGTGGTTCATAACCGACCATGATTAAAACATGTCAACAAAAAGATATCAACTAGAAAAATCTGGGGAATTTATGTTAAAGATTGAAATAGTACAAGTTACTAGCGGAAGATTAAAAATTAACAACAAGGAAACGAAATGCATGCATAGTCTAGTATCTCAAAACTTTATGGTTCATTCAAGTTTGTTCCATGTCATTCCAATACAAATACCCACCTTTAGAAGAAACAAATTGTACCTTAGAAACAACTAGCCAGGCCTCGCCAAACGTTCCTCGACCCAAAATGCGTTTTTTCTCATATTTTAAAACGTCGCCCATAACGGGACTTCGTCTGAAATCAAAAATGTTCATCAGTTTACCCGGATGTAAATACTTTGCAAATGATCATTATAATGATAGGCCTTATCCTATGTGGAACACTTTATTACGCAACTTCCATTTCAAACTTTTGAGTCTGTCCTAGAGAACGATTTTTGGACTCCCACCCCATCCTATCAATTTTGTACATGACCACTAATTTTTAACAAAATTATAATTTATTTTTTATTATTTTAGGGTTAGGTTAGGTTATGACAATTTCTGGGCCAAGCGCTGCTATGTGTTAGAAATGAGATCCATGTACAAAATTTATATGATGGGGGGGGGGGGCAAAAAGTTCTCTAATAAATTACCAAACTTTAAAACACGGATCTAATGAACCTTATCTATTTGGAATGATTTCTGTACAAAGCGCTGAAACATACGATTATGTCTTAGGGGGTACAAAAATAGCCTCCTAGCATGTCTTAGCTGCGGCGCTCGGCCCCCTAGCCTGTCCTGGCCGCAGCGCTCGGCCCCCTAGCCTGTCCTTACCGCAGCGCTCGGCCCATAAATTGTCTTAAACTAACCTAAATATAAAAATAAATAATAATAATTTTGCTGAAAAATAAGTGGTCAAGTACAAATTGATAGAGGAGGGGGGGGATCCAAAACTCGTGAACTATAAGGACGGACCCAAAGTATTATGTCAGCTAACCTTGAAAAAATTTTCGAATAGTAAAATCGTTTAAATCACTATTAGAAAATGTTCAGGAGGAATTTCAATTTAACGTCAGAGCTCATAGAACGTTGATTGGAGCCAGAAATCACCAAACCTCGATGCGGAGTTTAAGTGTGTTCACATTTCCATGACATTTCCTCAAAACTTAAAACGTAAAATAAATTTTACACACTTTAGCGATGGAGGGGGGAACCCAGTTCCTTTCAACAAGTGACAAACTTTCCAAGTTCCCAACTTTCAAGGATTTTAATGAAAAAACTTGCAATTACTTACGATTAATTTCTTCATGGCGAAATTTGAATAGCTTTCAATTGCCGCGGAGAATTTTATTTTTTAATTCAAAACTTTGGCGGATTTTTTCACCAAAGACGACGAAAATTTAAAAAACAATTAAGTTGTGTTCTAAATAATAAATAATTAAAAGACAATTGATTTACGAAACTAAATAATTTACAAAAGAAATTTGATGCGAACCTTTTAAAAAATGCATTTGTGAAGGATGAAAGCTATTCTTATATAGTAATGTTGCAATCTGCAAAGGCTATAAAAATGAAAAGAAGGAATTTAAGGAGCAAAAGAAGATGAAGATAAAGGCTGATAATTAATCAGACTTGTTTGAAATTCAAGAAGGGTACGGCAAGCCGTTAAAATATTTTAACCAATTTTTGAAAAATTGATAATTTATGGCGCGTGGCCTGGCCTGGACGTCGAGACAGGTATGTTGGTGAGCGGTAGCAATTACTTTTCTTACATAAGATAATTTTAGAGAGCTGGCCACTGAAAGTTGCAGGGGGGGGGGACAGGCCGATGCTGGAGATAAAAGAGAGAAGAATATGGGAGGGGGGGGGGCCAAGATGAGTTTAGTGATAATAGGTTATGTTTGATGGGGAGGGAGAAGAAGGAAGATGGAGAGAGAGAAGATAAGTGATATTAAGAGAAGGAAGATGTAGGAGAGAAAAGAAGAAATATGATGGAGAAGAAAGGTATGAGGGCGAAGGAGAAGAGATATGAGGAGAAGGAAGATGAAGGAGAGAAGAGAAGAGATATGAGGAGAAGGAAGATGAAGGAGAGAGGAGAAGAGATATGAGGAGAAGCAAGAGATGAAGGAGAGAGAAAAGAGATAGGAGGAGAAGGAAGATGAAGGAGAGAAGAGAAGAGATATGAGGAGAAGGAAGATGAAGGAGAGAGATAAGAGATAGGAGGAGAAGGAAGATGAAGGAGAGAAGAGAAGAGATATGAGGAGAAGGAAGATAAAGGAGAGAAGAGAAGAGATATGAGGAGAAGCAAGATGAAGGAGAGAGGAGAAGAGATATGAGGAGAAGCAAGATGAAGGAGAGAGAGAAGAGATATAAGGAGATGGAAGATGAAAGGGAGAAGAGAAGAGATATGAGGAGAAGGAAGATGAAGGATGAAAATAAGAGGAGAAGGGAATGGTTGAAAAATAAAAGGAAGAGGAGAAGAGAATGATTGAAAAGAAGAAAAGAAGAGGAAAAAGGAATGGTTAAAGGAAAAAGAAAAAAGTAGAAGAGATTGGTTAATAGATGAGGAGAAGAGATTAGAATGGCTGAAGGGAAGAAGGTAAGAGGAGAAAAGAATGGTTGAAGGAAGAAGGGAAAAGGGGAAGAAAATGGTTGAAGGAAGAAGGGAAGAGGAGAAGAAAATGATTGAAGGATGAAGAGAAAAGGAGAAGAAAATGGTTGAAGGATGAAGATAAGAGGAGATGATAATGATTGAAGGATAAAAAGAAGAGTAAAAGAGAATGGTTAAAGGTAGAAAAGAGGAGGAAAAGAGAATGATTGAAGGAGGAAGATAAGAGGAGAAGATAATGATTGAAGGATAAAAAGAAGAGTAAAAGAGAATGGTTGAAGGAAGAAAAGAGGAGGAGAAGAAAATGGTTGAAGGAAGAAGATAAGAGGAGAAGAGAATGATTGAAGGATGAAGAGAAAAGGAGAAGAAAATGGTTGAAGGATGAAGATAAGAGGAGAAGATAATGATTGAAGGATGAAAAGAAGAGTAAAAGAGAATGGTTGAAAGAAGAAAAGAGGAGGAAAAGAGAATGGTTGAAGGAGGAAGATAAGAGGAGAAGAGAATGATTGACGGATGAAAAAAAGGAAAAGAGAATGGTTGAAGAAAGAAAAGAAGAGGAGAAGAGAATTGTTGAAGGGAAGAAGAGAAGAAGAGAAGAAGAGAAGAGGAGAAGAGAATGATTGAAGGATGAAAAAAAAGAAAAAGAGAATGGTTGAAGAAAGAAAAGAAGAGGAGAAGAGAATTGATGAAAGGAAAAAGAAAAGAAGAGAAGAAGAGAAGAAGAGAAGAGGAGAAGAGAATAGTTGCAGGATGGGGAGAAGAGGAGAAGGGAATGGTTTGAGGTTTGATTGTATATAGTTTATGTGTAAAAAGTCTTGTTTAGTTGTTTGAAGCGGATAAGTAGCAGCTTTGAATCTGCTTTAGGCGAATATAAAGTGAAACTATGTAAGATAAAATTACTTTGAGCCCCTCTTCTCAGCGAGGTAGGAAGGCCAACCACAACAATTCTTCATCTGAGCCGCATTCTTCTCATTTTCTCGTTCAAGCCATCTCGATCCTTTCAATATCATCTTTTTAAAAAGTGTCAAAGAACACTCATTTTTATAGGTCTAAGCTTTTTTCAATTCCCTAACGTGTTTGGCCGGATGTTTGAAATATCCTTGAAATTTCAAAAATTTTGGTCTTTACAAAACAAATAGTTTAGCATTTGAAGGTGGCTCAGATGAGAAAATGTAGCTCGGACGAAGAATTGTTGTGGCTTGCCATCCTTCCCTCTCTCTGTCTTGATGGTCTGCACGCAACCTTAGAACAAGTTCTTGTTAGTATTCTTGTTTAGTGCATCAGATAATATGATCACGAGCACGAAAATAAACTACAGTGAGATCTAGGAAACTGTGGAATAGGAAGACGACATTTAGACTAAATTTATGATTTTATTTAGTCCAATAATGGACATTAGACACTTCGATAATCGATTGGGCTTTGGCAGTCTGCACAACAAATGGAATTGAGTCTTTGCCACAAATTCTGTTGTATCAAAAAATTAAACTTTAAATACGTATATCAAAGGTATGCACCATCAGGTTTTAAAGATTTAGGCATTAAAGAGTTTGAGTTTGTGACAAAGACTCAATTACTTTCACTTAATCAGTGTTTTTTAAATATTAGAAATATATTGCAATGTAACAACATCAAATACATATAAACATTCTTTCATGTCGTCTTCCTATTCCACAGTTTTCTACAGGGTTTCCCACATCAAATTTGACCGCGTCAATGGGTCTAAATTACCATTTGGAAGACAAATCAGAAAATTTAAGAAGAATCAATCATTTAAAAAAATTTAATAAGGCTAATAAAACATTTTTTGCAGAAAATGCTAGATTTTCGAGTATTATGTGCGTATTTTGGCGTTAAAGATTGGAAATAATCTAATATGATATATTGGGATGCTCTGTATATAGTACTCATAGACTGGTACTGGTAGAAATATAGATTTTTTGCAACATGAACATTGAACCAAATTAAATTTAGTTTTTAGATTGAAAACACAACAAAACAATCAAAGGTTTTTAAGAATGGATAACAAAATTGCCAGGGGGAAGAAATATGAAACCATGAAGGAAAAAAGGAAAACTAGAGGAGATAAGAGATATGAAACCATGAAGGAAAAAAGGAAAACTAGAGGAGATAAGGAATATGAAACCATGAAGGAAAAAAGGAAAACTAGAGGAGATAAGAGATATGAAACCATGAAGGAAAAAATGAAAACTAGAGGAGATAAGAGATATGAAACCATGAAGGAAAAAATGTTTTATAAAACCACAGGATGAGGAGACATCTAGAATAAAAATGTTCATAGATGCAGCTGTTAAGAAGATTATATGAAAAGTACATTGAAAACCAGAAAACTCTGGAATAGGAAGTCGACTTTTAGATTCAATTTATGACTTTAAATATTCCAATGAACATGAGGCACAATAATTGTGCAGTGTAAGCAGACCCATTTCATGTAAGTGATTTGATAACTTACTAGTTAAGCTATTCACTTTGTAACAACATCAAATGCACTTTAGTATTGCTTTAATGTCGTCTTCATATTCCATAGTTTTTTATCTCTCATGGATTTAAAAATTCAAGATTTTCTCTTAAAATCTTGTTTTTCTGATTTCTCCTGATATTTAATAGATTGAAGAACTGTAGGTTTTATTACATGATTGCAGGACACAATGGTTTCATTAGATAGTATATGGAAAGTATAAAATCTATCCCAATCTTAATAAAAGTTA